CGCGGGCGTGGTGATGCTGCTGGTGCTCGTGGTGCTCATCCCGGTGCTGGTGAGCTCGGGCGGCCCGGACGGCCACTATGAGATGCTGGGCACCTGCCGCATGGTGTGCGACCCCTACCCGGCGCGGGGCCCCGGCGCTGGCGCGCGGCCCGACGGCGGCGACGCCCTGAGCGACCAGAGCGGTGCGCCCCCGCCCTCGACGCTGGTGCAGGGCCCCCAGGGGAAGCCGGGCCGCACCGGCAAGCCCGGCCCCCCTGGTCCCCCCGGGGACCAGGGTCCTCCGGGCCCCGTGGGGCCGCCAGGGGAAAAGGGTGAACCCGGCAAGCCAGGGCCCCCCGGGCTACCAGGCGCTGGAGGCGGCGGCGCCATCAGCACGGCCACTTACACCACCGTGCCGCGGGTGGCCTTCTACGCTGGCCTCAAGAACCCCCACGAGGGTTACGAGGTGCTCAAGTTCGACGACGTGGTCACCAACCTAGGCAACAATTACGACGCAGCCAGCGGCAAGTTTACGTGCAACATTCCCGGCACCTACTTTTTCACCTACCATGTCCTCATGCGCGGCGGCGACGGCACCAGTATGTGGGCGGACCTCTGCAAGAACGGCCAGGTGGGCACGGGGCTGGCCTGGGGGCAGGCAGCCCAGGGCGGACAGGCACTGGGTCGCAATTGGAGGCTGCTCTAGGAGGGCGCAGGTGGACACCCTATTTGGGGATGGACAGACCCAGCAAGCATTCCTAACTCCTGGGTTCCCGGGACGCCGGCTCCAAGGCAGACGCTGCTGATACGGGCGGCTCGGAAATGCTTTGATTTAAGGGTCCCTGAGCGGGCACGCGGGCTGCCCCTTGGGGGCTTGACCCTGGGGAAGTGGCATCTGGGTACTGGGGTTCCGGTTAGTGCCAGCAGGCAATAGAGAAGGCAAACATGGGCTATGGGGCAGCAGGTAGGGGAAGCAGCCTTGGCGCCCGCGGGTGCCTGGGCTCAGAGCTGTGCGTGCAAGCAGCGGAGAAGGTGGGTGGTGGGAGAGGTTTGGGGCACAAAGGCAGAGAAAGCCCGGCGAGCTGTACATCCTTCGTCCGCCGGAAGGGCCCGCTGCGCCAATCTGACACCCTTGGTAAAAGCCAGGACTGCGCACCCTCCCTCTCTGTCTGTCTGTGCCAGAGCTACCCAGCGCAAGGGGGCTGCCTGGGGGAAAAGTTTTTCTCCAGAGGCGGGACGAAGAGGAGGAACCCCTCCCTCTTCAGAGTCTCCCAGATCCAACCTTTCCTGATGGCTGGCATGCCAGGGGAATCTCTGGATTCTCAGCCTGGATCCCAGGGGCAGGAACTGGCAGGCAAGAGCCCAGAGCCTGGTGAGAGAACCGGTTGTTCACAATCACTCTCCTTGGAGCAGCCAGCGGGAGAACTAACCCCTGCCCAATCCTGTTACATAGAAACAACTTTGCCTGGCTCCAGCTCCCTGGACACCTCTCAGCAGTTGACAGGCAGTCTGGATCCCACCCGGGGGCTTGGTCAGGTCAAGCATTCTTGTGGAATAAGGGGTGTGCTCATGGGTCAGAACTTAAATTGAGCTGGTCTGACCGAAACGCAGGACCCTTTTAGAACCTTTTTCACCGCAGCACTGCCCCGGGGCTCTGCTGGGCTGAGGGTCTTCATGGCAGAGAAGAGGGCTGAGGGTGGGGTGTGGGCAGGCCTTGAGGAGTCAGCAAAAGCCCCCTAGCTCCTTGTCATGAGTCTGCCCCTCTTCTCATCCCCTGCTTGCTGCTCTCTGGTTCCTGCCTCTCCCTGTCTCTCTGCCCTGCGTCTACCTTGGCTGTTGTCTCTTCCTGGGTTCCTGCCCTCTCCCTACCCCACCCTGATTTTAAACCCCCTCCCTCACTCTAGTCGTGTGTGTGTGTGTGTGTGTGTGTGTGTGTGTGTGTGTGTCCAACTCAGGCCGCTCAGGCTTCTGCTTGTCTCTCGTCTTTGTCCTTGGTTCCTGACCTAATGGGAGGCCCCAGGAACCTTCATGGGCTCACTCTGCAGACAGCCCCATGGTCCTCATTATTAATCACCAATAAGGGATGCTGCAATGTCACCTTCATCAATAGAACATCTTCCTCTCCCCAAGAAAGTTTGGGCAGGCACCAAGCTGAGCCTTCAGGGGGCTGGAAGCCCAGCCTGCCTGGATAGTGAGGGTGTCACCAGCCCATCAGGGGGCACTAGGTCCTGTATGCCCTCAGGAGATCACAAGGAGAGGAGGTCTTAAAGACAGCCGTGTGTGTGTGTGTGTGTGTGTGTGTGTGTGTGTGTG